TAAGACTTCGGCGTATATATACGTCTCTCTAGACGTACTTATACGCAACAACATATTGCTACTCCAGACGTAGATATACGCTGGCTCTTATTTTAGCCGCACACAGTTGACGAATTCGAAATTGCTGTTAGCAGTGTAAGGGTTAATATCTGTCATCATAGTTCATTAAGTCTATTTATATTTCATCAGATTCTTCAAAGCCTGTTTCAGTATTCATTTTCGGATTTAATGGAAGAAATTAAGATTAATTTAAGAAAAAAAAGGAACGGAAATGAAATTGTTAAAGTAATTCTTCGAGAAAAAATAAGTTAGTCCATTTGCGACACCCCTCATTTTCTCATGAGAATATATTTTTCCACAGCTGCCAGCATCAGGCAGAAGATACAATTCACCTGGCAATAAATAATATACCGATTGGCGTCTCTACTATGCAGCAGATTTGAATTTTTGGGTTTTCAAGTCTTTCCTAGGACGGTAAATTTGATGTATGTATGTTTTAAATCTAGGATAGATCATTTTCAATCTAAATGTACCAAAAATGCTAATGCAAGACGGCCTTCTGTGAACGGAAACAAATGGAAATTCAAATTCTGTTCATTTGTTCCATTTATTCTGTCGCATAATCAATTTTTTGACATATATAAGCTGTACACGGAATACAACAAATCGCCACTCTATGAGGCTTCAAACTGAAAAGCAATATTTTCTAAAATTAAGTTTGAAAAATTACGAAAATACTTTCTATATCCACCTTTTTTAAATGTAATTAGTAACCTACCAGCAACTGTGCATTCTAAGATTGTTAAGCTTCTACGCTTAGTTTTTTCCAAATTTTTAAAACACGCTTGCATGTTTATTATAATTTATTTTGTTAAATTAACATTTGGTTACCTCTACTTTGAAAAATTATATACAGAACGACTGAAGAGAAACGTTATTTCAGATTGGATAAGTGCTAACGGAGATAGAAGAAAATTCGTGTCTATAAATTAGCTATTATTATATATTAATTGATCTTTAGAAAAAAATTAATTACCGTCGATCCACAGTATTACTTCACATGCGGTAGGTGAATTATTTTTTATCGGCAGCTAACTTGCAAAACAAAACTCTGATACATCTTGTGGACATACATATAGAGTTCAACATAAGTCAAACAGAAACCAAAAGTTTGGGCGGTTTATCTACGATAATGTTTGTCTTTACTTTCTGTACAAATGTCTAGTGATTCATAATGCGGCGAATTTTTGGTCATCCTGATACAATAATAACCTAACAGTGTATAAATTAGATAAAAATACCGAGTTACAATATTTAGGAAAATAATATTTGAATGATGTTTTGTTATTATGATTGATTAATGTGTCGTTTTTCTCTGTTGTTTTCCTGTTTGTCTGCATTTTGTGTTACTTATGTCGAGTAATATACATGTTTGTATCGTCAATTGCACTGCGCCAGATTAAAGCCATATTTGAGAATCTGGAGAGTGACTTTTTTGACAATCTAGTTTTTCACATAACTATTAAATCGTAATGTTTTCAACACACTTATTAATTCCCATAACAATACTATTTTAGAATGTTGATTTTCAATTCTATTCGATTCTATTTCAATTTATGATTTTATTAAACGCCAAAAATCAGATTTTAAAAACGGCTATGGTCATATACCCGAATAATTGCTTGGCAAAATCAGATGAACAAATATGTCTTGGAAAAAGCTTATATCCGAAGCACAGCAACATGTATATAAATGCAACTTTAACAACTAATATTAACAAACTACTAAGACAATTTTATAAAATTGCCTTAACATATTTTTCAATGTGAATGTCAGATAATAAGAATTTAACAATATTGTTTTCATACATCTCCTTTTAAAATAATATAATTTTATTGATTCCGAGGTCGGTCTCCACCTGTTTATGCAGATTTGAAACTAAAACAAATATTATTAATGATGTTAGTGCAAGCAAGTAATTGCTTCGTGCTTTATTGAACAATGGGAGCCGATAAATATTACATGATTCCGTCCATTAGGATGGATGTATAAAAAATACATGAGAATAACACCTAAATACTAAACTAAGTTGAGTTCATAAAAGCCTTGAAATCAACTATTCACGAATGCTTCCGCCTTTACTCAGCAGACCGCAATTTGCAACTACA